TCTCCGCCGTAGCCACCGTGTCTTTCGCTATCTCCGATAGCATTGTTCCTTTCTCTGATTTCACCGAGTTCGGAGAGAGGGTTTAAAACGGAGACTAATCTCAATTAGTCCGTCAAAGAATTAATCTACATACTCTCCTCTAATCCACCCGTATAAAAGGATTCGAACCCCAGGGCGCGCGCGTGCGCGTGGAGCTCGCAACCTATTGTGTTTTTCGTTGAACACTTACCGATTTAATTGTATTTAACCTTTATCACCCGAAATCAACCCTCATTAAGGGTAATTTTGTCTTTTTACCATTGAGGAGTATATGAGACAAAATTTGGAGCTTGAGGAGCCCCTGAGAATTTGTTCCGTTTAAAACTGTCCCTGGGAAATTCGAAGAATCGGTCTGGTTTGGTTCGCAATTTTGGTAGTTTCACTGTTCGGTTTGGGAAAATTTCACCGTATTAGACCGAGTCCGGTTTGTAAAAGACGAATTTCGGTTCGAATTGGAATCAAAATTAAATTCGATCCAGTATATTATTGAATAGTTTCGATTGAATTTGGTACATTTACAGTTTGTTTTAGTAGTTTCGGTGATATTTAAAACAAAATTTTGATAATTTTTAATTTGTTAGTTCTAAACCAAACATAATCAAACTTGTTAATTTTGATCAATTTTTGAAATAAAAATTTCACAGAACTATACGAAAATTAAGTTTAATTTGGTTTCTAAAGGACAAATTTCGGTTCAGTTAAGGTAAACAAAATAGTGCCAAAATGGAATTGAAACTAAATTTGGTTTAGTTGAATAATTTTTGTTTATTTAGTATATATTTGGTATGTTTTGGTAATTTCAGTGAAATTTAAAGTAAATTTTCTATAATATTAGTTTGTTAGTTTTAAACCAAACATAATCGAACCGATTATTTTGATTAATTTTAGTTTTGCAGAACTACTAAAGTAGTGCTGAATTGGAATTAAAACTAAATTCGTTTCAGTTAATTATTGAATAATTCTTGTTCAATTATGTATCTCCGACCATGTCGCCGCATCCTAAAATTGTGGTTCGTGAGGTAAAATCTGAATATCTGACTTCATTTTTTCTTTGGTTCAGCTTCTTTTTTTTATGCTGATTGGTGAAGAATAAAATTGTCAAGTCTCTGGTCAAGTCCTAGTCTTATGCGTTTGTTTTGAAGTTGTTAGTCTTTGAATAAGTCATCCTAGTTTATAGGAAGCACGTGAGTCGTGGTGATTTCTAGGAGTCTCTTGCTTTGTTTCTTCTATTTAAGCTATTGGAGTTTGTAGTGCTTTCCTTATCACTTTCAATAGAACAATCCAGTTCAGTATTTTGCTCTCTGATATACAACAATGAGTCGGTTTTACAGTTTAACCGAAGATCTGGATCTATTCTTTGTCGTTCACTCTTTTCTGTCTCTCCGACCATGTCGCTGTATCCTAAAACTGTGGTTCGTGAGGTAAAATCTGAATCTCTGATTTCATTGTTACTTTGGTTCAGCTTCTTTTCTTTTTTTTTTTGGTGCTGATGAGTCTGTTTTACAGTTTAACTCTGGATCGATTCTCTGGCGTTCACTCTCTTCTTCTGGATCTCTGATCATGTCTCTATATCTGGTTCGTGAGGTAAAATCTGAATCGTAACCAAGAATGTCACATTCTTGAATCTATGATTTTGAACCTGCAAAATCTTCAATTACCTACAATACGTATTTGGTACATTTACAGTTTGTTTTAGTAGTTTTGGTGATATTTAAATTTTTGATCATTTTAGTTTGTTAGTTCTAAACCAAACATAATCAAACCTGTTAATTTTGATCAATTTTCGAAATAAAATTTTCACAGAACTATACGAAAATTAAGTTTAATTTGTTTTGTAAAGGACAAATTTCGGTTCAGTTAAGGTAAACAAAATAGTGCAGAATTGGAATTGAAACTAAATTTGGTTTAGTTGAATAATTTTTGTTTATTTTGGTATATAATTTGGTATGTTTTGGTAATTTCAGTGAAATATAAAGTAAATTTTCTATAATATTAGTTTGTTAGTTTTAAACCAAACATAATCGAACCGATTAATTTTAGTTTTGCAGAACTACTAAAGTAGTGCTGAATTGGAATTAAAACCAAATTCGGTTCAGTTAATTATTGAATAATTCTTGTTCAATTTGGTATGTTTTGGCAAATTTCGGTCAAATTGAAAATAAAATTTCGATAATTTCGGTTTGATAGTTCCGAACTAGACTGTTTATCAAATATTATGCTTCTTCTTGCCGATCAGTTTCATCATCCGATCAACCAAATCCGAATCAAATTAGACAAATTTTGGTTTGATTTGCTTTATATGCCAAAGTGTTAAAAAACTAGATTTTACTCTGCGGTACATCGCGGATCAATTTATTATAACTAAAAAATTAAAATTTAAGTCGTATTTGTTTTGTTAATATGTTTGTTTTGTTGAGTGTTTAAGATTGCATAATTGTATTTTGATTGTTACTTCTAAGATTTCACACGTAGTTTACCGTCCTGTATTAATATCGAGCCAAACCCGTCCCACGATATAACCCCGTCCCATAAAATTACTTTGAAACTTCATAAAAAATTTAATATTATAAATATTTAAAACGTTTTATAAAGTTTAAATAATTATTATATTTAAATTTTAATAAATTTTAAATATAATATGTTTCAATTCTTTAAAATAAAGAACCGGAGTAAACCGGATAACACTTTTAATTTTGGTAATCTGATAAATCAAGCTTCCTACTCATTCGTATTCAGAATCATTTTGGTCATTTTTATAGTATGACTCTGAATCATTGCCCAAAATTTTAAGCAATGTAGGACATTGTACGCATATTGTTTCTTCAACGATTAAATAATATATATATATATATCTGTTTTAAAATATTCGCATCACGTCATATGAAAAGAAAATCTAACATTTTATTAACTATATTTTTTTTTATCTAAATTCAAATTAAATTAAATATAAGATGAAATCATATATACGAATGAGGCTATCTCTCTCCATCCTTCCGCCACGTCAGCATTTTAGGCTCTTCTGGAAATGACACATCAGCTTTCTAATCTTCCTATCAAAACATTTCATTAATATGATTCAGCTTTTATTTTTTACATATCAGCTTCTAATTATAAGTGTCAAATGCTTTACGGGCTTTAGCTCAGGGCCGGGCCTGTCCAACAACATAGTCTCCCTTTCTGTACATCATATTTCTTTAGAAGAAACTTTTTATACCTTCTAACTGCCAGAATGGAGGCCACAGTAGAAGCTACACAGAACTGAATCAAGGAACAAGCAGCCGTAATTGTCTTTTAAATAGATGCACAAATTATTTCACTAAAACATATTCACACTCCCAGCTTATGGGATTACAAGCTTTTACTACTATAAACTCTATAAATACTCAAACAGACATTGCTTATACCGGATTATATGTGTTTCAGACAGCATCAGTAAATGTTTACCAAGGGGCAAGGAACATAAATAGGATACAGAACCATCATCATGTACAACCTACACGGGAATTAAAAAAATGAAAACATCAGATACAACTCAAGTTTACAATATCGATATACACAACATTGAATATACACTCACTTGAATTATCACTGAGGTGGTGGTATTTGAAACAACTGTCAAAACACAAATACTATTATGAGTCTAATTTTATTAATTATACAATAATAAACAAAAAAAATAAACATAAATTAGCGATAATAACAATTAACATATTTTTTATCTTAACAATTTTTAATACAAACCCAGGCGTAGCGTGGGAATTCCTCTAGTAAAAGTGAAAGAAGAATTACATATTTATGTTTAAATTAGTTAGAGAAATGTAAGAAAATTAGCAATTAAATAAATCTATACTATATAAAAGTCGAGGCTATAAGCTCCTGAGGCCGTCCACGTGGGATTTTAAACGACCAATTGCGGTTGGACATCTTGCTGATTAATATTTTTTACCATCTCATTAATTAACTTTTCTAAGTTTTACAAATTTTCTATATTAAGATATTTATTATATGAAAAAATAATATATATGGAAAAAAGAGATATGTAAAATTTTGAAAATATAACATATGGAAATAAAAATTGTAAAATTTAATTATTAAAATATGCAAAAAAATATCTTTATTAACGAATTTAAATTTATGAATTTATAAACAATATCTTGGTAGAAAGGAGAATATAAATATATTCACACAAAAGACATATAAATTTTGTTATTGTAATATCTAAAAGTCGAGGCTATAAGCTTCTGAGGCAGTCCTCGTGGAATTTTAAACCACCAATTGCGGTTGGACATATCATTAGTTAACGTTTTTGAAATTATTATTATTTTCTATTTTTTTTTAGATTTTTGTAAAATGGAAAAAGCAACATATGGAAATAAAAGAAATATTCGAAAATATGTAAATTATATTTTTTTTTAAGTTTATACAATTTTAAACGAAAATACAGAATTTATTTTTAGTCTCAACTACATTTATTAGTACTTCATTTTCAATAACAATAGCAATTTAATCACAATAGCTATCTCATTGAATGATATTTTAAAAATTTATGATTTTTATTTTAAAAGTATATATAGATAGGAAGAAATATGACAATATATTGAAGCAAGATATATATAAACTTTGTTATTATAATACATAAAGTAATTTATATTAGTCTCACAAATTTGATTATATTTTCATATTTTCTAAACGACCAATCGCAATTACTCATCATTAATTAACATTATTTGACATCACGTTAATTAACATTATTTAATTATAATATTTTATACAGTAAAATATTTATGAAAAAGAAATATATATATATATATATATATATATATGAAAATAATAGAAATGTAAATTTTTAAAAAACAACATATGGAAATAAAACAAAAGCAATATATAGAAAAAGAAATGTAAATTTTTGAAAAACAATATGTGGAATACATTAAACTTATAATCTTATTTTGTTAAGTTTCTTATTTTCCAACAAAAAAAAGAATATTAACAAAAACTATATTCGATTAACCCTAGATCTTTTCATTATAAATAATAACCGGAGGCATCCTATTCTATCATAATTTTTTAAGTTGTATATTTTGAATCGTCGGTAACAGCTAGGGTTGGTTACTACTCTTTATTAGGGATAACAATAGCCCACATTGGAAGTTGAGTAGAATCTTAAGTAGTATATATAAGATATGGACCTCTCTACTCATAGCCAATTGGTTTTGAGTTCGAAGCCCAAAGTCTAATATGGTATCAGAGCCCTATCCGCACATGCTCAACCCAATCTACATAGCCCCAACCAAATAATTGGTCCGCCGATCCATGCCCGAACATACCGAGATCAATGGCTAAAAGAGCCATCATCTCGAGCGGACGTATTAGGGATAATAATATCTCACACTAGAAGTTGAGTAGGATCTTAAGTGGTATATATAAGATATGGGTCTCTCCACTCATAGCCAATTGGTTTTGAGTTGGAAGCCCACAGTCTAATACTTTTAATGGCGCATATTATATTTTTTTCATCGCTTTTGCCACTTGTAGCATTCGGACTTCTATTTTTTTTCTCTCATACTCATAATTTAATACAGTTATCTTTGCTTTTGTCGCTCATAAGTCATAACCATGCTTTTATACTGACAAGTAATATATTTTTTTTACTCTCATCATCGATTGTTACGATCGTTTTTTTTTGTGTGTGTGTGATTCACTTGGCATTACATCCACATCTAATGGATCTAACTTTCCTCCTTCCGAGATGCTATATATATCCCATAGAAATCAACAACTTTGTTACTTGCATGTCTGCACCACCACCTATTATATTTTACTTCTGTTTGTTAGATTGTTTGTCATTTGAGACTGAGAGTAGTTTTTATTGTTTTTGTGAGAGTAGAATCGAAAGAGTCTGGCTAAGTTTGTGAATGGTAGATGTGCTAATGAAATAGAGAATGAAACAAAGGAAATGAATGCTTGCAAAAAGATAGAAAGAGTGATAGCTTTCTGGAAAAAAATGTGTTGACGGAAATTCATATACATATTGAAAATAATGAGAAAAATATGAATTGTTAAAAATAAAGTATTGATACGCTTAGGAGTACACTTCTGTATAGAATCTTATATTTAGAAGAGCTACACTAACCAATATAGTGAAGATAGACAAAGAACAATAGTGAATTTGCGTATACCAAAATGAGAAAGTCGTCAAAGTTAGTCCCCATACAACAATAAATCTAGGAAAGTGGTGGTTGCGGTGAGAGTTGAGAAACATACATGTAAGATCGTGCAAGGAAGCTCTCTTGGGAAAAATGTCTAAGCCAATATTGTGAAAGATGTCTATGGCTAATGAGGTAACTTATTGCGTGGTTCTTTTTTGAAACTTAGGTTGTATATTTCTTCAGTTAGATGATATCTAACCAGAAAAAAGATATGAAGACTTGTGTTGAAATTATCGAAAAAGTTGTTCTTCTTAGAGTACCAATTTCAATCAAAAACATGAATTAGCAAGACGTAAAAAGGTAATAAATTCAATTGATGAGATCAGTTTCCTTGCATTATGAACAATTGATGTCAGAATTTAGGTTACAAAGAGGGTTGATCTCCAAGTAAAAAATGAAAGAGAAAGAGAGAAACGCGGTTGACACCATAACTCCATAAGACAAATTTGGATTATCAAATATGGAAAGAAAGTGAGAAAACAATAATGACATGACCTCTTTATGGCAACGTTTTGTTCATATGTAGCTGAAACTTGATGGCGAGGTTTCTCACTGTGTTGGGATGAGCCATTTTTTGTATAAGAGATGCTCTGATGATCTTTTAGGATGAATGGGGCCATTGTCAAAATATCATAATTTTTTTACTAATAGCAAAATCTTTATTAGTATAAAAAAAGTAAGAGATAATGACACATCATATTTGTAATATATTTTATACTAAATTTTACCCAATAAACTTTTTTTTCCTTATTAAAACAAAATTTTAAATAACGTAAATGATACTAAAAATATAAATAAGAACATTTATGTTAAATATAATAAATAATAAACATTATAGTATTTTTGTATAAATAATTTTAATGTATAGCTAATTAAACAAATACTAAAACCAAAAATATATTAAATCAATTGATAACAACAAACCCCCGCTACGCGGGGGTTAATAACCTAGTGTAGTTAAAAAAGATAAGATTTAAGAGAGAAATAAAGATATAAATCGTTTTGTTAGGATAATATTTTCAATTAGATTTTGGGAATGTTTAGAATTTAAGACGGAGAGATTGAAATGTAAATAAGTCACAATTCAATTCAAAGATTGTTGTGGACCAAAAACCCTCCAAAAATGTATATGTGGATACCAAATCAGAGGTAGCCCCAAAGGAGGGGCTGTCCAATTTTTAATGAGCATGATCAGTTGGAATTGTCAGGGACTGGGACGGTCTCATGATCTGACAATTCCTCGTCTCAAGGAGATGCGCAAGCAGTTTTTCCCTGAGATTTTGTTCTTAATGGAAACCAAGAATAACAGTAATGTAGTAGTTGATGTTCAAGAATGGTTGGGCTATGACAGAGTCTTCACAGTGAACCCTATAGGTTTAAGTGGTGGTCTGGCTTTATTATGGAAGAAAGGTGTCAATATAGATATGAAGTTTGCTGACAAGAATCTGATTGACTGCCATGTACAGTTTGGAACAGTAAGTTTTTTGTATCTTGTGTGTATGGGGATCCGGATTCTAGTGGTAGAGCTAATGTCTGGGAGAGACTAACTAGAATCGGTTTACACAGAAAAGAATGCTGGTGCATGATGGGGGATTTTAATGAGATTATGCACAGTGGTGAAAAGTTAGGAGGTCCAAAGAGAGGTGATGCTTCCTGTCAACCTTTCAAAGATATGTTGTTCAATTGTCAGATGTTGGAACTGCCTAGTCAAGGGAATGGTTTTACATGGGGAGGCATGAGGTCTGATATGTGGATCCAATGCAAATTGGATAGGTGCTTTGGCAACAAAGAGTGGTTTAAAAAATTCCCTGTTTCCAATCAAGTTTTTTTGGATAAGAGAGGTTCTGATCACCGGCCTGTTTTGGTGAAGTTAACTTCTGTTAAGGAGGCCTATAGGGGGAACTTCAGGTTTGATAAGAGGTTTTTTAATAAACCAAATGTCAAAGAGGCTATATGCCATGCTTGGAATTCTGGCCACCTTAGAAGGAACTGTTTTGTGGCGGATAGACTGCGGAACTGCAGGAAAGCCTTGAGTAGGTGGAAAAAAGAGAATGTGTCTAATTCATCTACTCAAATTGCGCAACTCCAAATCAGCCTGGAAGCTGAACAATCGTGCAGTCTACCTGATTTCTGTAGGATGAAAGGCCTTAAAAAATCGTTATGCAAGGCGTATAGAGAAGAGGAAGGTTTCTGGAAACAAAAGTCTACTCAGAAGTGGCTTTTTTTGGGTGACAAGAACACGAAGTATTTCCATGAATCAGTCAAGACTAACAGAAGAAGGAATCATTTAGAGGTGCTGATTGATATCAATGGTAATGTTCAAAAAGGTGAGGCTTCCAAAGCTGCAGTTGCTGTGGCTTATTTTGAGACCCTTTTCAAGTCTTCTAATCCAGAGTCTTTTGAGGATCTGTTCCAAGGTTTTGTTCCAAAGGTGTCTCAGCAAATGAATGTGGAGCTCTGTAAGGTGGTTTCAAAAGAGGAGATCAGAGAGGCTGTCTTTGATGTTAAGGCATCTAGTGCACCAGGGGCTGACGGTTTTACAGGATTTTTCTTTCAAAAGTATTGGGGAATTATTGGTGAGCAGGTTACAAAGGAGATACATGGGTTTTTTGAGACAGGAATTCTTCCAGGGGAGTGGAACTACACCCATATTTGCTTGCTGCCTAAGATTGAAAATGCTGAGCACATGTCGGATCTAAGGCCCATCAGCCTTTGCTCTGTTCTGTATAAGATAGTCTCCAAGGTCATGATTAAAAGACTGAAGCCTCTGATGCAACAGTTAGTGTCTCCGAATCAATCTGCATTCGTGGAAGACAGGTTAATATCTAATAATATATTGATTGCTCACGAGTTAGTTCATGGACTAAAGATTCACCAAACCATTTCCAGGGAGTTCTTGGCCATTAAATCTGATATGTCTAAGGCTTATGACCGGGTTGAATGGTCATATTTAGAGACATTGCTGTGTGCTCTTGGTTTCAATCAGTTGTGGGTGAAATGGATTATGGCTTGTGTTACAACAGTCACTTATGCGGTGATCATCAATGACCAACCTTTTGGTATGATTACTCCTGGTAGGGGACTAAGGCAAGGTGATCCTTTATCACCTCTCATATTTGTATTATGCTCGGAAGGTTTGACTCATTTGTTGAATAAGGCTGAGAGGGAGGGATGTATTAATGGTATCCAATTCTCAGAGGAAGGGCCGGCTATACACCATCTACTTTTTGCGGACGATAGTCTCTTCCTTTGCAAAGCTCAAAAGGAACAGTGTGAAGCCCTGAAAAATATTCTAAAAGTGTATGGGGATGCTACAGGCCAAAGAATGAATCTGATCAAGTCCTCAATGACGTTTGGAGATAAGATTGAGGAGAATGAGAAATTGGCCTTACAAGAGCAAATGGGAATTTTTTCAGAAGGTGGGGCAGGATCATATTTGGGTTTACCAGAGTGTTTTAGTGGTTCCAAGGTACAATTGCTGGACTACATAAAAGAAAGGCTCAAGTCTAGATTCTCAAACTGGTATGCTCGTTCCTTGTCCCTTGGAGGTAAAGAGATTCTGCTCAAGGCAGTGGCTATGGCTATGCCAGTGTATGCGATGTCGTGTTTTAAGCTGCCTAAGACAACTGTGGATAATCTAACTAGCGCGATGTCAAATTTCTGGTGGAATGCAGTTGATCACAGGAAGAAGATACACTGGGTGAGTTGGGACAGAATGTGCATGTCAAAAAAGAATGGTGGGTTGGGGTTCCGTGATCTGGAGAACTTTAACCAAGCGATGCTGGCTAAACAGGCATGGCGCCTGCTACAAGAACCGGACTGCCTTTTTGCTCAGGTTATTAAAAGCAGATATTTCCAGAATGTGGATCTGCTGGATGCAAGTCTGGGAAACAAACCATCCTTTGGATGGAAAAGTATCCTACATGGTCGGGAATTACTATTCAAGGGCCTTAAAAAAAATATTGGCAATGGTAGTTCTTTGAAGGTGTGGATGGATCATTGGATTTTTGATGGAGAATGGAGAGCCCCTTATAGACTGCAAAAAAGTTTTAATCTATGGCTTAAGGTAGCTGACCTAATTGATGTAACCACTAGGACCTGGAATATGGATGTTCTAGTTGAGCTGTTTCCTCCAAATGATATAAGACTCATAATGAAATAGAAACCAGTTTTTAACAGAGAGGATTTTGGAGTTGGCAGCATACAAAAAGTGGAGACTATTCTGTGAAGTCAGGGTATTGGTTGGCAAGTACCATTAAGAAGCCAGAGCTATTTCTTGAAGCATCAATGTTGCCTTCTTTAAACGGACTCAAGGAACAGATTTGGTCAATTCCTACAGTGCCAAAAATCAAGGTGTTCTTGTGGAGATTGTCTAGTGATGCATTGCCTGTGACTGATCTCTTGGCAAGAAAAGGGATTAGTTTGGATTCTAGATGTCAGATTTGTGGGAATGAGGGAGAGTCAATCAACCATGTATTGTTTACTTGCACGGTTGCTAGAAGGATGTGGGCTTTGTCGCAGGTTCCTTTACCCCAAGGTGGTTTTGATCAAGTCTCTATCCATTCGAATCTGCATTTTCTTTATTCTCTTGGTAAAAACTTTGCTGTTCCATTTGAGATCAGACGCAGCTACCCCTGGATTTTATGGAGATTATGGAAGAATAGAAACTCTCTGGTTTTTGAAGCAAGATTTTTTGATCCCGTGGATACCATCAAGAAAATCAGAGAGGATGCCGAATTATGGGCTCTGTCACAACAAGTTAACACAGAGGCTGACAATGTTGAGGAGGAGGAGAATAGGAGATCTGAGATGCATTGGTGCAAACCTCCTGCGGGTTGGTTAAAGTGCAACATCGGGTTTTCCAGATTTAAGAAAGGTATGACAAATGGTGGTGCGTGGGTTTTAAGGAATGATCTTGGAGTCGTGGTATTGCATAGTAGGAAGGCTTTTACTTTGGCCCAGTCTAAGGAAGAAGCAAGTTTGAATGTTTGCATTTGGGCAATTGAAAGTATGAAGAGTCACAGATTGGAGAAGGTGGTTTTTGCTTGTGACTCTAAGGAATTGATGGGTTCTATTTTGCGTCCAAAGGCGTGGCCTTCTTTTGCTCTTCACCAATCTGAGATTCTGTTAAGTTTGTCTAATATTCAAGAGTGGAGAGTTTCACTTGAAAAAACTTTGGCTAACAAGGGAGCTTCTCTTATAGCTCAAAGTGTTCCTGACCATGAGCTGATTCATTCTTATGTCTCTATTGGCTATCCATCTTGGATGGGGGAACTCTTTGAGCTTGAGAGAAGCTTTTAATTTGCTCTTTGTATGAGTTACTCTAGATCTTTAGATCATCTTTTGTGAATCTTTTTGTCTGGGATGCTGAAAACTTGTAATCACATCCCAGTGTATACTTTGCATTTGTGCAAAGTTTCAGTTGTAACGTTTCATGTTGTATGAAATATATACCCAGATGACAAAAAAAAAAAAAATACCAAACCAGAAAAACTAGTAAACGGCGTCGTTCCAAATACCAAATATGTATAAGAAGAGAGGTCTATGAAAGGTTTTGATTCATACTCCTAAAAGAATGGGAAAGGTCACAGGCAAAGTAGAAGAAGAAGAAGGTGAAGCTATTGAAGCTCTGGGTTCTCTCTTCAAGCTTACTCAAATCCATCTATGGTAATAAATAATCCTTTTGACTTTTAAATATAAGATTAAGCTCTTTCGTTGAATTCTGATTCTCCTCTGTTTGAAATCCTCAGGGTCGATACAGATACTCCTCTCTTCCATGAACACAGTCGTGTAAGTACTCTTTATAAAAGCTGAATTTTGTGTTATGTTTTTGCGATTTGGATTTCAATTTTGGTTCTTTTTGGTAAATGCAGATATCCCCAAACAAGAGTGTTGATGGAATTACCAGTATGTCTTTACTTTTAGGTTAATCTTCAAAGTTTTGATTTTTATTTTTTCTGGTAAAGTTGTTGAATTTTAGTTTTGTTACAGACATGGGATTGATGAAAGAGATGAATGATCTTGGTCTTCCTGTTTCCTTTCGAGCAAGCAAAGAGGTACCTTTTGCTCCATTTATTGAAATTGATGGGTTTAGTTAGTTTTTTACATGCTCTGAGAAGTGAACAACTTATGTAGTGGAAGAACAGAACAAGAGGCTATCAAAAGAAAGGAATCAAGGATCGATTAGACGACGAGGTTAATGTTATTCTCAAAGAAGAAGAAGAAGGCAAGGATGTAGCATCCAATGTAGTTTTGGTGTCTGATTTGAAGACTCCAGGTGAGGAGGGTGACATACCGTCTTTGGAGGACAATTGTGTTCAAATAATTGTAGTCGAAGAAGAAAATCATGAAGTTGTTGTAGAGAGATGTATTTTGGGAAATGGAGATGGAGACTCTGTGTTGGCATCAGAGACAAGAGAGTCTCATGACTCTAATGAATGGAAAGTGTACTGGGATTCATTCTATGGACGAAGTTATTTTTACAATGTTAAGACACAAGAGTCCACATGGGAGCCGCCACTTGGGATGGAGCATCTAGCTTATAGCGATGAATGCCATAACTTGAATGAATTGGTTATAGAGGTGATTGAGATTGATCTCTGCCTTTTTATCTTTCTTGTATACTTTCCGGAGATTTTGTTTGCTTACGTGTGATTGGTTCTTTTTCTTTTTTTGGTATTAAGACAACAGAGAAGCATCATGATGATTTGTGTGGAACTGGACCTGACGATGATGTTTCCGTTGAAAAAGCTGATGATGTTCCCGCTGAAAAAGCTGATGATCTTGTTGGAGTTTGTCAAAGTCAATTTGAAACAGAAGCCACAGAGGAAGTTAACAGGTATTAAAATTCAACATTATGTGGTTTTTCTTCCTTCTGGTTGTATTATAATGGCGCTAAGTTGTTGGACCGAACTTAGTTAAACCGAGTTTTAACAAAAGAATAAACAACCTTATCTTCTGCAATATCTTTTAGTGTTAGCCATTGATCAGAACAATGTTGATCTCATTAATATGTGTTAACTAAGCACTGATAAGCCATCTTGTGTGGCAATACTTGATATGACCACAAGCAGAGTTGTTTTGGTACAACTTTTAACGTTGAGAGTGTTTGTAATGGTCTTGTTTGTAGCTATTGGTATAAAGCCGACAGTTTCGTAAACATTTAGCTATGTTACATTATTAAATGTCGTAACTATGAAACTACGCTTAAAAAGCATAATCTTGATTTTATGTCTGTTGTTGAGCCTCCTTAACAGCAGCCTTCTAACATTTTCCTTGTTTCCAGTTCGATTGATACATACCAAGAAACTTCCATTGGAAATCAATCTTTGGATATTACTACTCTTGATGAAGAAGGAAACGGTGCATATGTTGTCAGTTCCGTTAGGAAGTCTAAGAAAGAGTCCAGAAGATCTCGAGCCAAAAAGAAATTACTCAATTCGTACACAGGTTTGCAACTATTGCATATACATAGCTTTGAATTTTCATAGCTGCAGTTGGTCCGTTGTTAAAATATTTTAGATTCTTCTGTGAGCAGGGACTGGAATGAAAGGTGTTCTTGAAGAATATTCTGCAATCCTTGGCAAGTATTGGTGCCAGAGATACCTCCTCTTCTCCAGATTTGATGAAGGCATCAAAATGGATGAGGAAGGATGGTTTTCTGTCACTCCTGAACCTATAGCTAAGCATCATGCCACACGCTGTAACGAAGGCATAGTCATTGACTGTTTTACAGGAGTTGGTGGAAATGCTATTCAGTTCGCATCAAGGTGAGTGAAAATACACTTTTTATACTAAAGTTTTAGTGGCTTACGCTTTTTAGTATATAGTTTTGGCAGTTCCTAGTCACTCAATCATTGCTAGATATTTCACACGGTAGCAGGATTTGGTTTAACCAAGATTTCTCCACCAACTAATGGAATTAGCGTTTTGCACATTTTGGGCAATTTCCCTAACTCATTTTCTGCTGTGTTGTGCCTTTTTAGGCGTCACTATGTGATTGCAATTGATTTGGATCCAAAGAAAATTGATTTAGCACAGCATAATGCTGCCATATATGGTGTTGCTGATAAAATCGACTTTGTGAAGGGAGATTTCTTTGACTTGGCGCATGACTTGAAGGTTTTTTTTCTTCAACTCTTCTCAAATATTTTGGTCTTAGACTATTAGTTATTGAAAAAAAAAATTAATGTGCAGGCAGGCACTGTATTCCTGTCACCTCCTTGGGGAGGCCCTGATTATCTTAAAGTGAGTACATATGATATGAAGACAATGTTGAGACCTCGTGACGGGTATGTCTCTTGTGTTGATTATTATTTGGTAGTTACGAGTTTTAAGCTCTTACTCTCTTTCCAATTTCCATGATGATAATTATATCCTCACTGTCCCTGGATGATGCAGAGAGGCTCTATTTAAGGCGGCCATGAACATTGCGTCAACAATCATTATGTTTCTTCCAAGAAATGTTGATATTAACCAATTGGCAGAACTAGCCTTGTTGACATCTCCTCCATGGTCACTAGAGGCAAGTGTTTTTTTTTCTTATCACTTTCCTAGTTGGTCGATTTTATCTATGAGCATACTGTTTGGAATTTAAAAAGGCATTCTATGAAATTGCATAGATTCTGATACTTAATCATGATGATCGGTCACTAAAAACCGATGTTTGTCATCTTGTTGAATATTTGAAGCAAACTCTATTTGTCTAACAGGCAAGCCCCAATGTTTTCAGGTAGAGAAGAACTACTTAAATGGGAAGCTGAAGGCGATAACAGCGTATTATGTCAGACAACATAGTTGTTAGAACTTAGAAGAGGAAAGTGATTCTTCTCACACATTCAATGCAAGAAGGCCACAAATAACAAAGGTATCGTGCAATCTGCATTTGTGTCAGCTTGTTGAATCCAAGTAGATGAAAATTGATTTGTGACCATAGGTTATGAGTTTGTATGTACAAAATGTTTTTTTTTTGTAAACTCTGGGTTAATCCCATTCGATATAGAACTCATATTCAGCAATTTTATGTTATATATCACTCATTACTTAAACTGTTAGTTGAAAATGAAACGAAACGAGATATTTGTCCACAATCATTTTGTCGGGATCATGTGCAACAGCAATGTACAGTTGAATCTTATCCTCTGTTTGGCCAAGCAAACAGAACACGATGAGAAGCAATATACATCCAAAAATGTACATTTGTCCGAATTAGAGCATTTATCCGACCAATAACATCAAGCTTGAGATATCTTGGGCTTACTTATGACAATGATCGACCTTCTTGTTTCGGTAAGTTCCATTGTAACTTATCTTGCATCTCTTACTAATAAAAGAAACTCATTGAGGCTTGTCAAGCTATCCACATCAGCCTATTTTAGCTTTCTTCTAAGCATGTCACATCAGCAATCAACCATCCAAATAAATGTGGCCACGTTACCCTTTTAACAAATTACTAGATCATCACCCGTACTAAAGTACGGTTTAAATTTTATTTATTACAAAATTTATATATTATATATTTTAGAATAAAGTTGTGATATATTATAATAGTAATTGAAAAAATATAATTAGATTTTTGTCAGTCCCTATATATAATATTAGAATGAATATATTTTCTTTTTTTAATTATACTCAATTATGGATATATTTTTTTAAGTTATGAAAACAGAAAATAAAATTATTTTAATAAATCAATATGGTCTGAACAATGAGTTAATTTATATTAACAACCACAAATTGAGATTGCATATAATTCAGTTAGATCAAAAATCAAAATATTATAAATGAATCGCTTCTAAAACGTAGATTATTTTAATTAATTAAGAAAGTTAGCTATTATTTTGAATTAATTTAGGAAATTCTTTTTTCAATTTCTAATGCTTTGGTTGTTGAAATAGAGATTTGTTTGAGGTAACTACGGAATTTACCAATTATTCGCGTAATCGAATATGTTATAAACATATATTTAGTATATAATATATACCAAATCCAACCCGTGCATGGAGTCTTAGAATCCTATTTAGAATATATAATATATTTAGGATCATATTTTTATCTTAGAATCCTAATGAAAATATTGCGTGCACAATCTATTATTCGTTATTTCCAAAATTGCTTGCACAATCAAATTTTCAAATATTTTGTGGTGTCAACCTTATTTAATCTATCTGATCATATAATCTTAACATGTTGTCTATTATAAGGATCATAATTTTATATCATATAATATATTACATTTAATCCTCCGCCTACTATAACAATTTTAAATATATATTTTTAGAAAAACAAATTAAATTATTTATAATTTTTTTATCTTTTTAATCTATTAAATATTTATGATATTCATTAAAATATTAAATTAAACTATTTTTAAATGTTCCAAATTAAAATCTTTAAAAATATTTCTTGTAGTATATAAAATTATGAATTTCAAAAAAGAATTCTATGAAATAAAATAGAAATATTCAAACAGTTATAAGGATCATAACTCATTTGTTAATATAATATATTATATTTAACCAACTGCCTATTATAAATATTTGTTTTAAAAAAATCAAATTAGAGTATTTAATGATGATATTCTTTAAATATTGATGATATTCTTGAAAAATATCAAGTAAAACTAATTTTATATGTTGCAAATTAAAATATTTAAAAATCTTATTTTAGTATATAAAATAATACATTTCAAAAAATAAATGTATGAAATTGAATATACATATTCAAATTCTGACCCGTTACTCGGTCAAAAATTTTGTTGAACTTATTTTTGGTTAAAAGATATATATTACTCAAATGTGAATTTTTGACCCGTTAAATTTTTTTTTCATAGATTTAACAATTTATATTCGTTTTTAAAAATTCAAATCTTGGCATATGCAGAAAAATTTAGTTTTTTTTGTTATATGGATGATATGATGATTTATTTGTTTCATAAAAATAGAATCATACAAACATGAGAGGTGAAGTATAATGATTAATAACAAATTAATATGGTAAGTTAGATATCAAATCTTATATGTTCATTTTGATTGGTCATTCTTTTTTTTTAAATTAATAATATATTTTTGTTTTTAATAATTAAATTTCATAAATTAGTATTTGACTTGTTTATCCTTAATGAGCTGAATTAATTTACTCTTTATATTTTTATCTCTAATGGTATTCTAATGTAATAACTTACAAATGGAAAGGTTATTAAAGGATAATTATAAATTGTACTCCCCAAATAATAGTATAGGATTTCTCCTTTTTTGGTGCTATATTTTTGTCTTTTGATATTACAATTAAATAAGTTAGAAAGTTAAAACGATCACCGACTCGACTTCTTCAAATCCTCCCTTTTATTCGTAAGTGAAAACTTCTCATCACCCTCTTCCTCATCAGATAAATCTGATCGGAATGAAGATGCAAATGAAGTTTCATTCATCACTGCAGACGGCCCATCAATCGAGATTCTAGAGGTAACCAACCTTGCATGTCACCTTATTATTTTATACTCCATCTGTTTTTTAAAAGTTGTCGTTTTAACTGTATTTGGACAAATTAAGAAAAGGTATACAATGACTATATTAACCTCATAAAAATGACAAGTAATTATTTACAAATAATTTGTGTTCAATAAAATGAGGGTAATTTGGGTAGTTATTGGCATAAATTACATTATTACCTTAAAACGACAACTAATTTAAAACAAAAAAAAACTCTAAAACGACAACTATTCGAAAACGGAGGGAGTATTATTTTTGAATACCAGGAGGTTCGGGACCAAAGCCCGTAAATCCCCAGACCTGAAACCACAACATGTAATATTAGTTTCATTTCAAGCGTCACTCGAACCGACAACCTCTAAGCTTCGCCTATGATCTTTACTAGTTAAGCTAACAACACTTTGTCATGTCACCTTATTATACTTATACATATACTTTATTTAGGTTTATGCTTCGGACCCTCCATTGAACAGAGAATGAATCCAATGGCTTCACTCCCCAAATCAACTATTTTGGAAATTCAATCGTCCAAAGTTTCGATGGCGAGGAGTTTTGTAAGACATATCCTCCAAATTAACGACGAGCAAAGAGTGTCAAAGCCATGACGTAGTTGACGTGAACATGAGACGATATGAAACACTCAAGGAGGTCATACCGGCGTTGTGGGTTTACGGCTCTTGGTCAGTCAAATATCGTCGCCAAATCTGATCTGACCCCTTGAGATTCACTCTTATGTTTCCAAATATCGTCTAATGCTCTACATGAAAATCTCTTAGGTTTTTCGCTTTAAACCTCTATAAATTCATAATGTTGGGACCAGAAAATTTTATTAATTTAGAGAGGTATTAATTTATCAATAAATTAATAATTATTAATTTATAGAGAGATTTTCCTAATTTTGTAATTCTTAAAAAAATTCTATCTAAAAATATATATTTTTCTTTATAAGCAATATCTTTTTAAAACCAATTGCAAGTAGAGAAACAATTATTAAGTTTAAACAACAACACAAACTTTTTTCGAATAAGAAATTCATATTTCATTAATTTTTTTAAATATAATATTTTAAATATATATTATAGTAATTTATATATGACATATATAAATTATGTCATATATATAAATTTATATCATATATATATATATATATATTAAGTTAAATATACATATATATATATATATATATATTGATAAATTTATACAATTATTAATTTATGATATAGATGGGACCATATGTTTATATGAGATTTTCAAAAAAAATATTATCTTATTAATTTATCGATTTATGTCATATTTTACACTGGTCCCAACTCGGGACCGAAATAATTTATTAATTTAGAGAGGTTATTAATTTATAGAGTATTAATTTATAGAGGTTTTACTGTAGTTTGATATCTTTGTCTCCGATTTCTATTTAGATTCATATATAGCTAACTTTACTATTAGAATTCCAATTACGTGAGAAATAAACTTCTAACCTAAATTAAGTAGATTTCCATGACATGTTTGCGTTATATATATGTGTGATGATTTCATTCACATGCTTTAAGGAAGTGGTGATGTGATTCTACAAAGATACAAAGAGGATAAAATCAAGAGTGTGCTTCAGTTCAACTTTAGGGTTAAGAGCATTGAAAACTTTGAGATACAAAGACGAAGATGTTTTTATATAGAACTACCTTCATATGTCTGTTGGAAAAAAGAAGGTTTGTTCTCTCTTTCTCAAAATTCTCTCTAAATTTATCCCAATTGAAGATTAAATCTTCTCAATTTGTTTGTATATTCCTCTCAGGATTCTGGTATTCTAAACATGTAACCATGGGTTGCTACTCCTTAGTTTCCTCCTATTTTTATAAATGAATCTCTAGCATATATGTCTCTCATCTTTGTTTTTCTAGAGTTGGAAAGAGATGATCATTGTGCGGGTCATTCATCTTCAAATATACAAACTAACAATAGATTTAATTCTTAGACAAACAAATTCTGTTTTAATTTTTTTTTGTTTTTTAGACAAACAAATTATACTTTGAGCTTATAGTGTTTCAATATTTCTTTGAACTTCTAATCCAATTTATTTTCAGGCTATCATCTATATATATTGTTGACGTTGCAGGTGGTACCGTTAGGAAAGAGAAGCATAGGAGTTGATGGAAGCAAATGGAGATGATGGTTATGGTGAGGATGATGTAAGGTGTAAAGGATGATACTCGGGTTTGCATTATCAGTCATGGAAGAGATTAATTTTAAGAGGAAACAAGCAACTAATTCTTAAACAGTCGGCCTATGTTTGAGGATTATTCATGTCATATGCTTTATTCAACCGCCCCTTATAGACCCAGGTTCGCGATCCACTGTTTCAGACCTTTTGACTTGCCAGGTTGATGGTTCTTGGACAGATGGAGGCACTTTATGCGGCATTGGATGGATTCTTATCTCAGACTCCCAACTTATTAATCTTGGACTCAAGTGTTTTCGACAATGTTTATCTCCTCTTCACACAGAGTTTGAAGTGCTCCTCTGGGCAATGAGATCCCTCACATCATTATCTATTTTTAATGTTGCCTTTGAGACAGATTGCAAGGAGCTGACCCAGCTATTGGACACTCCGGATGAGTGGCCCGCTTTTGCCTCAGAGTTAGAAGATTTCAATGCTTTAAAACTCGGTTTCCTTCATTTTTCTTTAGTTTTTATTCCACGTTCATACAATGTCCGTGCCGATTGCCTTGCTAAGAAGGCAAGAGCACGTGATTCTATCTTTTCTCATGTAAGCTCCTCAACTCCGGACTGGTTTTCTCCCGTAGAAAACCGCCCGTTTCTAGCTTAAATGGATGAATTTACTTTGATGTCAAAAAAAAAAAAAAAAAAAAAAATTTATTAAGAGTACTGGTGTCTTCTTGAACATACAAATAAAATTATTAGTTGAGAATCATTTCTAACATACAATTACAAGTATATAATTTCTACTTTTAAATTCAGGAATTTGGTAAAATATTTTTGGAACATCTAATTTACTTTAATTCATATTTAAAATGTAATAATTCTTTGGATGAGGATGTGCCTTTAGTCAAATGGTTAAGTCCATTTGAATCCGCCTTCCCCACCGGAGTTTGACTCCAGTAAGTCGCATTACCCCGCGTAGTAGGGATTGGCTATGGATCGGGCCTTGTGGATCTAAAGATGTCAAAAAAAAATAATTCTTTGGATATTAATTAATCGTTAACAAACTTGAACATTCAATCTTTCAATGTGTACCGGGCGTAACCTAGACTAACCCCTAGTATAAAAGAAAGATTGCAAGAAAACAAAGTATGTGATGTGGATGCTAGAACAAAGCGTGATTTTATAAAATGTTAGAAATTAAATCTTACTTAACACAATTTTGTATAATAAGTACTATTATTTGAGTAGTACCTTAATGAGAATCTCCTTGCGTTTTCATAGTATTTAGTATTTACAACATATTTACCTTGGGTTAAACATTTTTGTGGGAAAAAAAAACCATTCAATAGGACGCGGATCTTTTAATCTAGTAAATTCGGATAATAACTTCTAATCGTGTCCATTCATTACAATCGTTCTCAACCGTTGATTATTCATTAAATTCGGATCATAGCGTTGATCTTATTTATACCCAAAAACTGTTTTTCGGATATTGCTTGCTAATTGTGACCGCTCAATTGATAAGAGATGTGATCATCAAACCATTGATTTAAAATATTTATTTTGGTAATATTCCATAATAAATCCGTATCTAGATTTTCACCCTAATTATAGTAGATCAAATATTTTTCGAACTAAACTGATCTTATACCATATTTTTTACTACTACATTTCGGAATCATCAAATCTTTAGTTAACAATAAATAAGATTTTCCTACTTTTAAAGTAAATTTCGTAAGATTTCTTAAATATATGTGATTCAATATATTCTAATTATTTGATTTCCAAGATGATGTCACCACTGAATATATTTTTTGGCCTAACCTTTGAACTTTATAAATACCGTGCAACACAACTTTTATATTCATTCATCTTTTTCGCAATCTTATCAAAGTCTATGAAACAAAAAAAAACAATGAAAATAATGTTATCCCCTTGAAATCTCTTAAGCCTTTCAAGAACTCATGGCATATCCTGGTGAAATTGCTTCATGTTTGGAGACAGTACTCTGTCAAGAGTGGTGAATAAATTGAAATAATTTTTGTTGATCAAGTTGTAAGTATTTTTACATTTACCATTTTTTTATATTGATAGGCGCATCATTATATTTATCTATTTTGTTTTTTTTTTCAATTTTGTAGGGTGATAAAATGCATGCCGCCATGAGAAAATATCACATCAATTTTTTAAAAAAAATGTTTAACAGAAGGTTCTTGGAAGATTGTAACGACCTTTGGTCTCAATTCTTCCAGTGGCATGTATAGAGTTTCGGATTTGAAGTTTAATATTGGATTTTTCCAAAACAATTGTGACTCCCTAAGATAACATCTCTGACGATTTGTATATCCCCCTTGCTAAGTTTGACACAATCTTTTTTGGATCCGCGAACATAACACTACAAAAAAACATGTGATATTCCAACAGATGCTTCCAATAATCGTATTTTGTTGAAAATTTCTAACCGATATTCTACAAAATTGTAACAAATATTTTATTTATTGAAAATTTATTGCAAATTTCCAATAAATTTTGGTTATGGTAAATTTGTCACAAACGTTGTAGGAAAATTGTTGGAATTTTCCAACAAATATGATATTGTTGCAAATTAGCAATAATTATTAAATTGTTGGAAATTATTAACAAAATATTTGTTAGAAACTAATTGTTTTGTGGGAATTTATTTCTAACAAGTTAATGACAAAATATTTGTTGGAAAAGTGGGGAAAAAAATAAAAACGAAAATAAAAAAAAAAATTACGGAAAAAATACAAAATATCTTACGTAATGCAACTAATCACTAAAGTAACTAGAGCTTTGACGTCAAAATAAAAAAAAAATAATTAAGAAATTAATAATGAGAGCTTTTGATTGGTTAAAACAAAAAGACAAGGATTGCACTATCTACCGTTGATTGATTAAATCTAAGGGACATAATCTCTCCTTCTTTTTCTCCTCTTCTCCTTTTTCTCTCCTTCGTCTCATCTGCCGCCTCATCTTCTCCTATCGTTCAACATCCTCCTCGTCTCCTCTCCTTCTACTTTGTCTCATCCGCCGTTCTATATACACAAATTCGGTAAGTCAATTTCCGTTTCAATATTTTCTTCTTATTGGTTTCTTTGATTTATTGGCGGAGTGATGAATTAAAATTGGTTTTTCAGATCTATGTCATTAAAACCCTATTAATTGTGAATAGATGGGATATAGTTATGAGGTTGTGACGAACAAGAGAGAATTCGCCGATCGATTTTGCTGGGCAAGAAGTCCTCCATTGTGGTCTCTGTGGCTGGCTAGGCCGACGAAGATTTTGACCGCCGCCGTCTTATGTTGCAGCTAGTGGAGAACAAGGCGAGTGGAGAACGAGTTTGATGTAATCTGCATGCCAAATTTACACCAAGAGCCATCGTGAAATTGAATTCACACCAAGAGTCATCACCAAGAAGAAGAGACCATGAACGAGTTCTGGGAGATCTCATATGGACGATAAACGAGATCTAGGTGACTCATAATTATGTGAAAAAACAATGTTTTATTTTTGTTTTTTAATCACTTTTGTCCTTAGAAATTAATACATTGTGTAATATTTTTAAAAAATTGCCTTTGTAAATTATTATTTTTTCCTTGTAAAATTGGAGTTTTACGAAATCAAATCTCAATTTCAAAATTTAAAATGGAAATTGATATAAATAACAAATTTAATAATAAAATCCTGATGTTATTATATAAAATCGATTGCAACAAATATGTTATTAGTAGTTTTCCATAAACAAACTTTCAGAAGTGTTGAATATTTGTGGCAAATTATCAATGACATTCCAACAAAATATATGTTGGAACAATTTGTTAGAAACTTCACGGTAAATTCCAACAAATGTCCAACAAAAAAATTATCAGAACTATCCAACAAATTGGTCATAGAATTATTCGATGGAAACGTTTCCAATAAATTCGTGACAAATGTAGATTTCCAACGATCATATTCCAACAAATATATGTTCTATTGAAAATTTATTGGAAACATATAATTCTTACAAATTAACAACATATAATTTTTGTTGATCAAGTTATAAGTATTTTTACATTTACCATTTTTTTATATTGATAGGCGCATCATTATATTTATCTATTTTGTTTTTTTTTTCAATTTTGTAGGGTGATAAAATGCATGCCGCCATGAGAAAATATCACATCAATTTTAAAAAAAAAATGTTTAACAGAAGGTTCTTGGAAGATTGTAACGACCTTTGGTCTCAATTCTTCCAGTGGCATGTATAGAGTTTCGGATTTGAAGTTTAATATTGGATTTTTCCAAAACAATTGTGACTCCCTAAGATAACATCTCTGACGATTTGTATATCCCCCTTGCTAAGTTTGACACAATCTTTTTTGGATCCGCGAACATAAGTCTCTTAGTAGGTTCGTTTCTCTTTTATCAAAAATTTTGTCAATAACGGATTTTTTTATAAGAAATCGTTTGTAACAAGAATTGAAAATGAAGGTTTTCATCATCCGAGGCATATGATCATAGAAGTTCTTTGATGTGACTGAGATATTAACCACAAATAAAGATTGTTTATCAATATATCACAAACTAATATATATATATATATATATATATATATATATATATTAATTAACGTTTAAATTATTTTAATTATATTTCCATGATCATGTATCAAGTAAATATTTTCTTATTTATTTTGTCAAGATTGACAAGTGTAGGACAGTTTGTACGGTATATATCATTGATACAAATTGGTCTTGGTACTATTTTTGTTGTCGTGGTCACAATAAAAAGGTTCTATCAAATTGGAAGATGTTAAAACTCCACATAAACCAAAATTCTGGTGTGAATATTGTAATAACTATTCCAAATCTGTTATTGCAAAGTGAGTTCACTTCTATTGGTATCTCTTAAATAATTATTTCTTTGATTCTTTAAGTTGATATACATCTTTGTTTCAAGGTTTTGGTTATATCTTCACATCATGGACTACTCGGGAGAAGCGAAATGTATGCTATTTGATAGTCATGCACAGAAAATCTTTGGAACTACTCCACATGAGTTACTTAATAGTTCATTTGATGAGGTACACATATCTCTTTAGTTATTGAAACAACTAAAATATTATTTACGTAAGAAATATAATGATCTTATACTTTATGTAGATTGAGGATCCTGATGCACATGGTGATTTGATTAATGGTACAAGACTTCATATTATGCAAATGGGTGATCATGTTTTACAAGCACACATATTAACTGGTACAAGAGTTGGAATTGTTCTTCTATCGAGGATGCTCTTAACTCTGTCGGACACTATATTACTTTTCAAAATGCGTCGTAGGCAATTTTCGTTAACCGTTGTTTTTGCAATGACAATGACAATCAACAAAAGTCAGGGCTAGTCATTAGATTTTGTTGGTATATATTTGCCGAGACTTGTTTTTCACATGGCCGGCTATATATAGCAATGTCTAGAATGAAATCAAAAGTAGGATGTTACATATTAAGTAAGATGTTAAAACCTTTGTTTTAGTGGAGAATCATAATTTCATTCATTAAAGACCAGATTACATGATTAAAAAACAAAATAGAAAAAATAACAATTATATAAAACATCAACTAAAATACACTAGATGGGCCTAAACACTACATTAGCATCGCCAACCACATCACCACCACGACTGTCAACACCATGAACATGTCGATCATCACTTTTAACACCGCATTAACACTGCCAGCCAGTATCACCACCGCTAGAACCACCGACATTACTACCGCTAGAATTACCACCATCGGCAACACAAGCACCACCACCGACCACAACACCGTTTCGTGCTACTTCTCTAGCCTCTTGGACTGCCTACTCTGAAAAATTTATGATTCATTTATGGTTTCATTGGCAAGATTAAAAGCATTTTGAATCGCCTGAAACTCTTCTAAAGAAGAATATGAAGTTCTAATCTTGATATAAGCCTTTAATTTTGTTAGAAAACGTTTGATAAAAATTGCCTCAAGAATCAAAACATCCAATCCTAAATCCAAACAAAATCCTTCCCAAAAGAAGAAATCCGTAAACACGCCCAACAACAAATTTGGTAAATCTTAATGTTGTAGTAAGAATAAGAATAACTAATGAGAGACCTCCTACTATGAGAGAAAGTTCATTTATAATTTTTTTTTTATAAAAAAAAACCATGAATATAGAATAGTTATCTCATAGGCTTTACATCATCATGTTTTGACGCATAATGAGCAATCAAAAGCTATCAACCGACGTAAGAGCCTAACATCAACATGTTTTGGTGCAGCAAATGGTGATGAATAAGGTAACATAGGAAGGAAATGTGTGGTATTGTTATCTTCACGGTTAGCAATGAATTCAGTAAACACCAAACCAATTACAGCGGTATCTATCAAAAGATTATGAACGCCAACTAACACAACATTTGCCCTGAAAATAGAAAAAATGAACATTATATAGAAAAATATATAATAACGATACTTCAAAGATAGCAAAATAAGATAATCAAATTACCATTCTATATGCGGTTATGTTCGTGCAATAGGTGACATGGCTTAGACTTGGATGAAAATTTTGATTGAATTTTCGATAAAAACTTTGAGAGTGTATTTGATGAAAATTTTGATAGGATTTTTGATAAGAGCTTTGAGTGTGTAAATAGGTGAATATAATTGCAAGAAAAAATAGACTAAAATAGAAATACTAAAATGCATAACAACGAAAAATAGTGAAAGTCATTCTGATTGAGGAAGACATTAGTGCAAAATGGACAGGAGATTTTTTACTTTAGAATTTCTCAGAATTTAAGAAGCATAAATGAAGTAAACGTAGTGTGACATGTCAAAAAAGTTATTGAAATAAAGCAGGGGTATTTACTGCGAATGACATACCTTAAAAGAACTGTTTTCGAAATAGTTCATCGAAAACATAATAACATTGAAAGAAACTATTTAATAAATACACAACATATATACCAAGACATAAATTAAAGATGAGAAACTTACCCAATGGGACACTTTTTTTTAAGATTGTGTGTAAAAGAGGCTCTTTTTAAATTTGAGACACGTTTTAAACATTTACATTTTCATCAATACCATTTTGTCCTTGAATAAGTCTTTAGAAACAAACGAAACAAATCAATGAGTTAGTTTTAAAAGATAATAAGAACCGTTCAACTATAATTATTATTTAAAATCTAATAGATGAGTTTTGATGTCATTTTTTCATTTCTTTTCTTCATTTGTTTCTTTTTCTTTTATTGTTCTTTTATTTCTCTCTC